TAGGTACCTCGCCAAAACTATTGCGCAAAAAAATGTGGTGCTCGAATAGAGTGTGGAGATTTCCAAAAAAACCTAATTGTCCTACTTTATAGATTATATTATATATAATCCAAGCAACTAATTACTACTAATAAGTTGTGTAATTTATACTCAATAAAAATTAATATATCCTCTATTTCACATCATTTTTCAACTTGTTTGTGTTATATATTTTATCTTGATTATTTACATTAGGTGTATTTCAACAGTAGATTTGATTAAATAACTACATACTAAGTGTATATATCTACACACTGATGTGTGTGTAATTATGTGTAGATCTACGATTCAAATCTACAAATGCAAATAACCAGGTGTAGGATATAATTTCCCGAAATTTGTCGACGTTGTTATTGGCATAGTGCATCTAAAATTTGCAAAGATAGCAAATATCCAAAATCTTTAGGAAAGTAAATAATTTAAAATTGTAATTAACTAATTACCGGTTATATTTTCCAAAATATATATGTATATATTATATATATAAGTAATGAGAGAGAGAGAGAGAGAGAGAGAGAGAGAGAGAGAGAGAGAGATGGCGTCCATAAAGAAGATGACAGTCACGACAGCGTTGAGCGTGCTGATGCTGGTGGCCGTATACACCGCCGGAGCGGCTGCAGCAACGGCGCCGGTGGACAAACAAGCGTGCTATCTGCAGTGCATCAATGGCTTTTTTTGCGTTTGCAATTTGAATGACGTGAATCCACGCGCTGATTGCTGTGCTAAATATTGCGATGATAAATGTAGTAGCAGAAATGATTGTGCAGATGTTCCTAAGAAGCCTAATTGTCCTCCTTCTTAGATTAATTATATTAATCCACCAATTAATTAATTACTCGTTAATTAGTTGTTATTATTACACCAAAAAAAAAAATATTTAATTTCATATCTTCTTTGAGTTATTTTATCTTGATTTATTTATTTATTTTAACTTATTTTGTAAGAATTTTGTTAATCATTAATCAAGAACCATATATGTTGACATTTATTAACAAGACCCTTCTGTTTTCTGAAATTATTGTGCAAAATAATAAAAAAAATAAAAGTAATTAAAATAATAATAATAATATTCAAATTTACATACTTTAGATATCACAAATTCCCAAAATTTGTATATTAACAGATTTTTTTTTCCTTACATATGTAACATAACAAACAGATCAAATCAATGAAATTTATATTAATTAAAGCTAATTAGTAAATTAAACAAATTAAATAATCCAATATATTCATCCCTATAGAGAATGAATTAGGGTTTTATGACCACATGAGTTGATCTATATCTTGCTGCAAATCTATTGAACAAGGCTAGGGCAATGCTTGTAAGTTGCTGAAGATTAAGAACCTTAGCTTTAATCATCGCCTTCGTCTTCCCCCCTAAGGCCCGGCCCGAAAACCCGTCAACGCAAACACTCACATCAGTTAGGGCACTACTCATCCACGTTTGGATATTACTCGCGCGCCACGGGAAATCATTATTATTTCCTCCATCTTCCTTAATCTTTTGGGCCTCTTTAATGCAATTCGTGAGTAGATCGACCCCATCGTTGATTCGATCCAAACACTCCCTAACGGATAAGTAGCCCTTATCCTTTGTTTGGTTTAAGTGATTAGCTACTCCCGTAATATAGGCCCGAGTTGACTCGGCCTTGGCTAGGCTCACCTTCACCGCAAATTGGGCTAGTTTTCGGTGGCTTAGGGTTGTTGTGAAATTAACCGCGTAGTATGATAACGAGCGGATGCATAAATCAGGATAGAGCGTGGTCTGGCATTGTGATTGGATGAAAGCACGGGCCCGTGACTGACGGTGGATAACGGGCCGTTCGGCCCGAACTAGGGTTAGGATCATGAGGAGAGAGAGGATTGTAGCTATTTGTGCCATGATTTGATTTTTTTTTTATTTCTTTTTCTTGAATGTGTGATTGTGTTGAAGTAGATAGATAAAATGAAAGATGGTGGTGTGTTGGTTTATATAGAGAGGGTAATTAGAGAAAGATTAACATCTTTAAATTGTATTTAAACTAGTAATTAAGTTGTACTCAATTAATATAATATTGTGAAACCCCATGTGTTTTTGTGGCTTCCACGAACCAAAGTAAGTCAAATTTTTTTGGGGGGGGTAAACGAAAATTCTTAATTCATGTTGGAGTAATTTGGTAAATAAGTAACCTTTTATTTAATTTAAATAGATGATATAAGATTGAAAGTAGACAATGCTTTGTCTCTCGGTTATTACTTATTACAAAATTCAAGAAGAATGTGGGTGTGTGACACGTAACCTATTTAGTTTACTATTCCCGATAATATATATAGCTGTTGAATTTGATTTAATGACTCAACCTTGTATGAGATTAGTTTGACTTGGCACCAATTATTAAATATATAAAAAATCTGACATAGGTGCTTGTCAAAAGTACTAAATTACCCTTACATAATCTTAAAATAATAATATATTAATCAAAGTCATAATACAAACAGGCATCTCTCTCCATGAAATTGAAGGATACAACCAGGAAGGGATGAGTATTGAACAGTCTTGTCGGATATATTTATTTTAATTTTGCTTAGATTTAGACTCAAATAAATTTGGTCCATTAGAAAAATAAATAATTGTGTCAGGTAATAAGCTTACTTAAACCGACTGATAACCAGTATATTATATTATATTATATAGGGTAAATTACGGAAAAAAACCCTAAACATAGGCTAATAACAAAAAACACCTCATATATTCGTAATTATCAGAAAACCCTTGAAGTTTGTTAAAAAAAATCTTCTGTATCTTTGAAATTTGAAACATGGGCGAACGACGGGAATTGAACCCGCTCGTGGTGGATTGGCAATCCATTGCCTTGATCCACTTGGCTACATCAACACCTCTCGTACCCCCTAACAGTGCGATTTTTCATGGATTTTTTTTTTATTCTAGGAAATGGATTTTACACAATTTCAGATATTTCTTTTATTTATCACCTATTTAACAAAAGATATAATAAACTGTGCACATTTTATGTTAAAAAACTCGATCAATAATAAATCAAAGGGGGATTTGGTTGTTACGGATAGGTAGGGGTGTTTTTCGTTATTTATCCTAAGTTCAGGGGTTTTTTCTTAATTTAGCCTATTATATATATGTAGGAGAGAATTAATTAGAATCATGTGGGGTGCAGGTGCAGCAGATATCATGGGCCACACATAACGCATCGTCGATCATAGTCAACGCTTCATCCCGTGCAAATCAAGAACAAGGATATTTTGTGTAGTTATCTGGTGAAGGGCTTTATCTCCATTAATTTATTAACATGACAAATCATTAACACATATTCATACGTGTGCCTGTGTTTTCCTCCACTTGCACTAATTTATAGTATCAATTATTAATTTTTGTATTTTTGAAATAGAAATAGCTGCACGTACAAGTAAATAAAACTAGGATGTCAAATAGGATCTATGTAGCACAGACACAGAAATGACGATTTGGGGAAACGTATACGGGGAAAACGACATGTTTCTAACATAGGAGTACGGGAACCTGGAGAAAACGCGTAAATATTAAAAGTATATATTTATAAATATTCTATATAAGTTTTTATTTATATATATTTTTATACAAACATATTCAAATAAATTTTAGTATCGACTATCAATTTATTATTGATCAATTTTTCATGTGAATAATTTGGGAAACAACAAAAGTATTTGACATTTTGCTATTCAAACTTTTTAGAAATTGCAATATTGCTCATACGGTGTCCGACAGGTATCTTCGAGTTTCCGACAAAAAACAGTTCCGAAACACGGAAACGATAAAAAAATGAAGTTTTCTTTCTAGATCTCTCTCTATGGATCCATTCTTCTATTACTATATGTCTACATAGACTACTAGGGTCAAATGAATGCCTACATACATTGAAACATGCATCAAAATGAAAATACAACATTTATCTAATCTAATACACACATCCACATGAATGTGTGTCTTAGTTTTATGTGTAAAAGAAAAGATATAGATTAATTATTATACCTAATATGAACATTTTGTATGGAGGGTATTATTGTCATTCTTCATCAGACGAAGAAGCATCATCAGTGGGGCCCGGATATGCCGGTAAGCTCATAATCCGTTTGTCGACGACAGGGCCTCCAACCGTAAAATGATATATACTCTGATACTTCATTCCTTTCAATCCAAGAATTTCATGCACTGCCAATATTTTCAAAATAAAGTTAGAATAAACAGAATTTAATTCGAGAAAATCACAATCGAAACTAAAGAATATTACAGAAATATGAAATCTGCTGTATTACATGCGCCAGTCAAGTCAAAGTATGAGAATTTGATATTCAAAGTCTTCTTATATTTTTAAAGATTTACCAATCATGAATCATACTAAACATATTACAGTAATGTAATCGTAATCTATCGTCGTTTTACCATACGAAAATCGTACTGTTTGTCAGTCGTATCACCAGAAGGGAAAAAAGAAAAAAAAAATCGAATTCAAAGTCGTTTCGTCACATAAAAGATATACTATTCGTGGATCATCTTACGATATATACTCAAATATGTAAGGAAAAATACTCGATAATATGATTAAATTCGAATATCATCCGACTATGGTAATATTTCCAACCAGAATTCTTCTGCAGCATTAATTAGCATAAGAAAAGAATTACTAGAATATTACACCACATGTTGAATTCGCTCCGTTTTACACCTATATATACCAAAGCGATTCTCCTAGAGAAAAACACACTGAAGGCACTAAAAAATGCCTCGCAAGAACACAAAATATGTACAAATTCCGAGCGAGAAAACCAGAAAAATAACTCTAAGAAGAAGGCTCGATAGTTTGTTTAAACGAGCAAATGAGCTATCAGTGTTGTGTGGCATAGAGATACTCATAGTCGTTCATAACCGTAACGAAGGCCATTCAACACTATGGCCCACACAAGATAAGGTTGTGGATGGAATCACAAAGTTCTTGAACTTTCCGGAAAGAGAAAGAATCAAGAAAATGGTGACGCAAGAGAAGTTCTTGACTGACAAAGTGCAGGACTTAGCTGGGAAATTGCTGAAGCTTCAAAAGAAGAACGATGAAACGGAAATGGGGCTGCTCATGGGTCAACTCATTGAAACGGGTACAACCCACGATGCACTCGATGCGAGGCGGGTTAATGGGTTGTACCGTTTGGTTGAAGAGAAGCTGGAAAAGCTTCGGAACAGGAGAGAGGAACTTTATGCAATGAGAGAATACAACTGCTTTGGTGGTACGGTGAGTGGTGTTAATAACAATAATAACAACGTCGATTTGTTGAACGAAACTGAAATGGAGATTCGAGCGAATGAAGTTACAAACTCGTTCGTCGAAGGAAATCGAGGCGAACTTCTTGGTGAAGTGTGGCCTATGATGTTCTAGTTCAAGCACCAAGAAAGATTGTTTTCAAACCAACAAACCCTCTGAAGCCAAAAAAAAAAAAAAAGGAGTACACATCGGCATTCTACCTTTTGATATTTTAAATTCCGCAGGAGTAATATTATGTAATTCCATTTAAATTAATACATTCTATTTGCATTTACCAAAAAAAAAAATTCATTTCATGTTAAAGAAAATCAATGCAAATTTTTTATCTAAATGATAGCACTTTTATAACCTTTTGCAACAAGCATGACTCCATTTATATCGAGATTCGAACGATCTGTTTTCGTGTTTCTGTATTATAAGATTGGCGAAAAAGTGATTCACTATCCAAACCATCACATTTTTCACAGTTTACTATCTACTTCTGTTTACACTACCGTTTGAAGTATAGAACCGGTTTCACACCTTGTCTTCTATACTCACTACCAACATTCATGGCACGTGTCGCACTTTGTCATGCAAACTATGCAAGATTTCTCACTTTGCCTAAGTGTTGAAAAAGTGACAGTTTGCATGGCAAATAAAGATTCAATTCAATTAAGATCAGAGTTTTGTTCTTGAATTTTAAGATATAACTCAACGAGGATAAACACATCAAGATTCCAATAAGGCATTGATAACATAGAACAGGAATGGTGAAAAAGGAATGAATGCATACCAGGATCATCGAAAAAGCAACCTATTCCAGTAGCAGAAACACCAACTGCAAGTGCTTCGAGATAGAGAACTTGACCAAGCACACCACTTTCCCAAAAAAGTCTCGGATACATCCAAGCTCCCGTTTCCTTCAAAGTTGGCTCTAAATGAGCCACCATACCAAGGCTGAAGCATCCATCACTAGCAATGTCCTGTACAGTAATGAAAAACATTGTTATAACTTAGAAGCGAGAAGTATCAATAACAGAGGAAGTTATCAAAATTTCCAGCATTTTTTTCTCAAACATGATTGTTTGCTGAGTTGTCATGCGATAAATACTATAAAGTCAACAAAATTTGGCTCGAACAATTGATTTTCATATAGCTACATGTCATCTCCAACTCGGAGAAGAACTCCCCAAAGAAATGATTTGTCTTTTTTACTGTATTCTCTTAACAATTTTTAGCCCCTTGCACCATTCCAATCTACAAACCTCAGTGCAATACACTTCGGTTCAGCGGATTCCTTAGTTCAAACGAAAATATGTATAAGAGAAGTGGATGTAAAATAAATGGCCTGACACATGATGCAAATCAACCATGATATTCAATATGATATGATGTTAGCTTAGAAGCAATTTATATCAAACCCCTTCACCGAAATGTCGATTTTGCAGTCTCGAAAACCAAATTCCCGTAGCTATTGAAAAATCTATCTAACGAAATTCCAATCCCTCGTACAAATAAGTGGTATGCAGAATCTTGAAAACAGGACAAGTTCATTATAATGCCAATAGGCATGCATACATACCTGATGGCACGAAACCCGTTTCGAAATCTCTCGAACATCTCCTCGTTCGAGTTCATACAAAGGAAGATCATCGGGGCATCCATCTGGCTTCACCCACTTAAACTCCGATCTTGTATCTCTCTTAAGCTCGTGAAAATGGTCCTCATTCCTCACCAAAAAGTACAACCCATTCGACAAACCCACAACCCTATGAACAAAAAGAACAGCATCAACTTCAGAATCCCAAGGCAAAGCTCGAAAGGGCAATGCCAACTGCCTCCCCTGCTTCTGCCCACTCTCTCCAAAACCCGATGGCATGCAATGTAATAAAATCTGATAAAATGTTTCTCTCTCCATTACAGTAACACCATCCATATCAACTGCACTCCTCCGTTTCCTCACAACCTCGTTTAGACTAAACCCTCTGTAAGAACTCTCGCTGATCATTGAACTACTCATAAATGGCTGAGGAACTAATTCTTTAGTCATCTTCAATGACTTCTTCTTTACGGCATCGGCCGTTCTATAGATAATATCCCAACATAAATGCTCTTTACTGAGAATATTTCGTTTCCCCTTCCACTCGAGATCCGAAAAATCGGACGAGGCCATTTTCAGCTTCTCGTAATCAATTTCGAATTCGCCTCCGTTTTTGGGGAAAACCAGCAGCAAACAATCGGGATGCTCGAATTCGATCTCGGGCATTTTCCCCCTTACGGGTCTGCTAGGAATGCTGAACTCTCGAGAATTCTTTAGTCCCATTAATTTCTCAATTTCTTCGTAACCTAACCCATCTAAAACCCTAACATCCCACCCGAGCCCAGCCGCAGCCATGGAGACCGCCGCTATCGCGTGGCCCACGTCGTGATTGCAGTACCTGAACGCCCTCTCGCCGTACTTCCACGCTTCCCGCCAGAAAATGGACGAGAATCCGATCAGGAAGGAACCTTCGGGGAAGCATCCGCCGAAAAAATCAGACGGAATTCGAGCCCTAAACTCCAGCGCGTGCTCCTTCGGCGCGTAATGCGCGACGAAGGAGTGGTCGGAGAGGGAATCCACGGCGGGCGAGATTATGTAGGCCTCCGTCGGGTGTAGATTGCCGCTGCTGGGATTCACGCGCAGCGACCACGTGGAAAACCCGATTGTTTTCCACGCGGATAAGGCGAGTGAATTGTAGAAGAGCTGAGAGACGGTGGTTCTGGTGAGTGGTTTCGGGGGAGGGAACGAATTGAAGATGGAGGAGTACGGAGGGGAAATTTGGGCTTCGTCGGAGGAAGGGTGGAGGAGGGGGAGGAGAGGGGCGGAGATGTAGCGGCGGAAGGGGTTGGGCTGGTTCGCCCAGTCGAGGCCGTGCGGGCCACGCGCGTAATTGGTGAACGAGTGCTTTGTTTGGGTATGATATTTCAATACCTGGGTTAAGAGCTCTTGTTCTTTCTCTTCTGTAGCTTTTTCTAGTGATGACGTGGACATGCTGGCAGAAGGTACGAGCTTTGCGGCGGCGGCGGCGGCGGAAGGAGGCGGGAAAAACAGGCGGCGGGGCCGGTGGAGAGAGATTGGGAACCGGTGATGTATGAGAGACATTTTAGGGAAGGTTTTGGAATGTTCCATATTCCAATTCTCTTTCACATTAATCAAATCATTTTTCAAACTTTTTAAATTATATAATATAATAATATAATAATATTTGAGCTTGATTTAGTAATCATGCAATTAAGTCGAATTTGAACGAACTTTAATCGTGTCGAAGATGAATCGAGCTTAAATAGCTTCGGGCCTCGTTTACTTGCTACTAATAGGTTTGATTAAATAAATAATAACAATTAGTAAGATGTTTGGTTGGTAGGATTCAACATTACTCAAGTTCGCTACTAAAGTTGAAGTCGGCAATTACTACGTCATGAAATTAGTAACACCATTCCCCTTGCGATTAATTTTATAGAGGTGGCTACAATGGAAAATTACAAATTTATCCTTAAAATAATAATTTAACTTTATTAAATAAGAAACTTTATAGACAATTTACATATAATAACATTATTTAACAAATTTAATACAACATATAATCTAAATAACGAAACATATTATTAACTAATAACTAGTTAACTAGTAGAAAATTAATCCAATCTAATTTTATCTAATTCAATATAAATAAGCAAACGAGGCCTCAATATTTTATAAATATTTGTATATTTATTTTCTCATCGAGCTCGAGCCGAGTTTCATAACTTATACACGGAAATAATAAAATTATATATTTTTATTTAATCCTACTTATATGTATATTATGTGTAATAACAAATAAATAAATAAAATCGATATGGGCCGACATTAGATAGGGCCGGGCTGAATTTGCAGAAAAATTGTCCATTAGGATTGCCATTTACTATTGGGCCTAATATAATTTGCCTTGCAAGCTGGCCCGAGACAGCGGCCCGCTTGCCTTTTATATTTTTTTTTCTTTTTCTTTTTTATTTATTTATATTTTATTATTATTCATTATAATTAAACATTATTGTATATAGATCTCATTTGGTTGATAAAGGTAATTATAATTAATTAAATAATTTGAACTTAATTCTTCATTAGTTTAATTTCTTTTTTTAATAATGAAAGAATCTGTAGCCAGCCGTATAAGTGTACTGATTAAA